AATCTGGTTCTCAGGGTTGTGCTTAATATTTGCCGCCTGGCCTGCTGGGCTTTAAGTCTTCAAGTGTAATTTAGGACAATTAAAATGAAGTGTTAGCACACGGCGTGTTTCCCTTGCGATGGATGATGATTCTCTAGTATTGTGTGTAGCTGAGCAGCTGGGTCCCTTGATCCATCAGAGGCAGGCAATGCCAGCCTCCAAGCTCATGGCTGATCTCCCACGCAGAATGAATTAACGTGGCAGATATAATTTCCCTGGGTCAGCATGCTTCACCCTGCAGATCCATCTCGGTTGGAGTGCGGGGGAGGCAGAGTGAAGCCACCTGCTTGCCTGGCCATAGAGACTTTGTCTATGATTCTCTGCCTACCTCCTCCCCCCAGCACCAGTTTCAGCTTAGAGCTGAGAATTGCTCTCTCCTGCCTAATCACAGGGGGGAGGGGACTCAATCAACTTGGGTGTAAAATTCTAGAGTCCTTTGGAAAATGCAATTGGAACTGAATCCAGCCTGTTAACATCTCCTAGTTAATTATCATAGGCTGTATTTTTGGCATCAGGGCTGAGCTGGGGGGGGTAGTGGTGGTGTTGGGGTGGGATCTTCGTCACAATACCAGTTTTAGGAGTCGTTTATCTTGTCTTTTAGACTAATTATCCCAAACTCACCACTAGGCTGTCACACTTACATGCTCCAATAAATGTAGTTTTAAATCAGCCACTGACTTTGTGGCTGGGGTGGCAGCGTCCCTGGTTCATGTCTAACTAGGGCCATCCATCTGCAATCATGGCACTGAGGGGAGGTGGCACTGTTCGGCCTGTATGAATGATCATGCTTATTTATATGCAAATACATTTGACAAATCAATAATGTATGATTTAGCTGTTCAGTGTGTGTTAGTACATGGGCTGGCTATCCCAGGTAGGGGGTCCTGGGAAGGGTCTTTTGACCTCTGGTTCCTTCCAATAGCCTTCTATTATATCAGCCCTTCTCTGCTTCTACAGCTTCCAAGATTCTCAAGTTCAAGGCTCTCTTTTCCCTTGCTCAGACCAAGAATTTGTTCCTCTGTCTTCATCCCTATCTTGGGCTCTACTTTAGTTAGGACTTGTCCCTTTTATTAGACTAAACACACTATTCAGCAAATATTTATTGTGTATTTACTATCGTATTTCTGACTATATATATTTATATCTACATACTGTTATGGTTTTTGTTGCTGTGACCAACTTGACACAAAACTTAAGTAGGGAAGGATTTACTTTGGTTTCAGTGGGGAAGGCATGGTAACAGCAGCAGGAGGCAATGGGTGGGTCACATTACTATAGTCAGGAAGTGAGGTAGGGCTATAAAATCTCAAGACTCGGCCCTAGTGATCCACTTCCTGCAGTGGTTCACCTACGACAGGCAGCACCACCAGCTGGGAACAAAATGGTGAAACATATGAGCTCATGGGGCCATTTCACATGTAGCCCACAACAGTCCATGTATGGAACAAACCCTTTGACTATATATACATTTTCTAAGCGTATTTCTGGAGTGCTTTGTATGTAGTAACCCATAGTCCCCTTAATGAGTTGGTGTCAGACCCATTTTACAGACAGGGAAACTGGGGCACTTGATCGTCCAAAACTGTACAGCAAGAGAGCATGTTTTGAGAGGCAAAATCAGGCTGGGCTAGTCTCTGCTTTTATCTTCTGGTCTTTGTTGTGAAGTGTAGAGTCTGTATCCTTCAGAAGCTTCTGGAAGAGTGGCTCTCAACCTGTGGGTCATGACCCCTGAAGGGGTCACATTTTAGATATTCTGCATATCAGTTATTTACATTAGAATTCATAACAGTGGCAAGATTACGGTTATGAGATAGCAATGAAAATAATTTTATGTGAGGAACTGTGTTAAAGGGTAGCAGCATTGGGAAGGTTGAGAACCACTGCTTTAGAGTATGGCTTGTCTGGGGGCTGACTCAGAGTCTGGCTTCATCTCTCCATTTCACTTAGATCCATCCACCCTTGCTGATGGGTAGGTTCGGAGCCACTGTATCCTCAGGCAGTCCTCTCCTCCACTCTACAGTAGTTCCCTGTGCCTCTCGGAAACAAGCCTGTGTCTCTGCACAGCCCACTCTGAGTTATAGCCAAATTGAGCTACTGCCCAAACTGTTTCCTCAGCTGAACTCTCCTCTTTGCTGAGACAACTTCCTCCTTCAAGTCTCTGTGTGCATTTCCCTTCCTCTAAGATACCTTAATAGATTCTGGTAAAGCAAAGTAGCTGCCCCTCATTTGGCTTCCATTTGCGCCATGTGTAACTACTTTCCAAGATGGCTCCCAATGATCCTAGCTTCCTTGTACTCATGTCCTTCTTGTACACTCCTATACCATGCCATTTATTCAGTGATTAATAGGATACAGCCGAAGTGATGGTTTGTGACTTCTGTATGTAGCTCTTAAGAGACACCAGTGCTTGCTTGCTTTTCTCTCTCTCTCTCTCTCTCTCTCTCTCTCTCTCTCTCTCTCTCTCTCTCTCTCTCTCTCTCTCTCTCTCTTCCTTTCTTTCTCTCCCCCCTCTCTTTCTTCCTTCCTTTCCCTCCCTCCCTCCCTTCCTTCCTTCCTCTTCCTCCTCCTCCTCCTCCTCCTCCTCCTCCTTCTCTTCTTCGTCTTGATCTCTTGCATGTTGGGAGGGCACTTGGCTCTTTGCAAGGCCAATGTGGCGAGGAGATGAAGTCTCCTGCAAATGACAGTGCGGGCATCAGACTCTCTCTAGCTCCAGTGCATCCCTCCAGTCATTACAGCTGGGCTGACAGCCACCTTATGAGAAATCCTGGACAAACTCAATCAGTCAAAGCAGTTCTAAGCTCCTGGCACACAGGAGTTGTGTTCCATAATAAACATTTACTGTTTGAAGCCACTAAGCTTGGAATAATTTGTTAAGCAGTCATAGATATTGACTATATCGAATATATTCCCATTTCAATATTTTTCCACTTGTTTGTGGGCTCCCAGAGGGTAGGACTGTGTCTTTTTCTCAGGCTTGTCCTTATTACTTGGCAAGAGTCCTGGCGCCTATCAGGTTTTTACCTGTCTGATTCTAAGGAAGGGGGTTTGCAGACCATTTACAGGGAGGGACTTGGATGATTCCTGATTCGATTTCTTAGAAAGAGTGCTGTCTTCCCAGAGAGAACCATGCCATTCTCCATTCTCTCCTCTCTGTTCCTTTCACATGACTTGGAAGTCACCATGGGGTAGCTTGACCAGGTTCCCTTCTCCTTAGACATTCCCAAGATCCTGAAGCAAGTGGCAGGAAGATATTTTGCTGACTTGTAAAAGCATTGACAATCTGTGCCCAGATGCTTGGGGGTAGGTCATCAATTCCAGTTAGTAGTTCCCTTCCTGGCTGTGGAGGCTGTTCCTGCTGCATTCCTGGACCATTAGTACTCGTTCTCCTTAGCACTGGAGCCAGTCGCAGCTCTGGGTTGGAGACATTCACTTCCTGCAGGGCTCATGGCTATGAAATATTCAGTGACAGTGACTTCTCTCATATTTCTTCATATTCAGGGTGGCTACTCAATTGATATGTAAATAAAGTGCACTAGCATTGAGCCTGTCCCACGCTGCATTATTTAAGCCTCAAAACGATGCATCATCCGTCATGGGGCCCATTGGAGGGACCCTGCTGGGCGCTGGGCAATAAAGCCCGCAAGAGCCTCATCAGAAGCAGCGGGTGGCCTAGTGGAAGTTCATTTATGCATGAAATATTCAGCCCACAACAGTACCAGTCTTAAACATCAGTAATTGGGGGGTTTCTATTGCTCCTAACTAGTGCCTCTAAATTATTGCAAAAGACTGGCCAATTTACAAATTACACATATTTGTCATGCTCTTATACCTTTCCTGAGCTAGCTGAAACTGCCTGTGTTGTGGCTGTGCACATACTTGCCATGGTGAGCGGTGCCCAGAGGAGCTGGCTCATCCGTGGAGCAGAGTGGAACCTGCATCACACGTGCAAGCCCTGCCTGCCATTCACCTTCTAATCCCAATAGATGACAATGGCCCCTTTATGGACCACTCACTGCCTCCTTCTGCTGAGGCCAGGTATCTGAAGGAGCCAAACATACCCCAGGATTTCCTGGCTCCACTATTTGCTCTTTCATGTTCTTGCATAGCTCTGTGTTAGGTGATTTCCCATCCAACAAATATTTACAAAACATCTGGGTGAGATGTTGGGGCACAACATAGACCCAAAGCAGAGGTCTTCAAGGAGCTCATAGTTCCGTTTGGATTGCTGAACACTGGAGTGCTGTCTGCAGTTGGGTTCTCCTAGGCAGACTCAGCCTGTAGGCTGCAAATGGTTTACTTGGGAGATAACCTCAGGAAACAGTACTTGGGAATGGGAACATGGGGTGGGGAAGGGAAGACGTTTCTGGAGGAAGTGTTAGTAAGGATGACAGCTGGTGCTCAGCCTCAAGGGCCTCATGAGAGGTATTGAATACAAGAGAGTTACCCCATTAAAGGGGGAGGGGGCTGGGGTATGCATCTAACCTTAGGGGGACACTGTAGAGAGGTTTCCTCATTGTGCAGTGGGAGGATGCTGGCAAAGGCAGTGGGTTTGGCATCTTCCCCAGCATCACCTGAGGGAACCAGCAAGTGTCTTATGACCATCTGGACGAGGCAGGTTTTTTCTTCTCTGGATTCTGGCACAGTCCCTATGGGCATTGGAACTTCAGGTTGTCTGGGATAAGGTGGGGGTGTGGAGGCCCCTGTGGGGGTGGCTGCTAACCTTTTTGGCAAAGGGGCTCCTGCCCTTTGGATGAGTGCTGCCAACATTGGGCAAGAGTGGGAACAACACCGATGATGGAAAAGCTCTGATTATCCCAAGAATGTGTTTTTACCCAGCTGGTGACACTTTCGGGTCTCAGTGAAGTCACCTCCTCAGAGAGGACTTTGCCACCACTGATCTGGAAGACCACCCCACCCCTTACTCACCTGCTTGCCTTTGTTGTTCTGTTCCCCACTCCCAGGAATGAATGGCCAATCTGTCCTACTTGCTCCTGCACCCAGGCAACTCACTCAACACCAGGCTCACAGAGGGGCTTCAGGGATTGTTGCTCCAAGGGGCAGCAAGTGCATGAGGTAGGTGCTTTGATCCCTCCTGTCACAGACATAGGGTTGGGAGAAATTGGGGAGTAGACCATGTGGTGGGGTCAGGGCTGGAACTGAAGCATTGACCCCAGTGTTCTTCAGCAAGCAGGGCCTCATGTTTCCCTTCTAAATCCTCAGCACCCCACAAGCATTATCATCCCTTTGAACTGGGGAATCTCCTGGAGGCCAAATTCAGCACTGAGAGACACAGGACATGAGTTTCTGAAAGCTCATCTGTATCCCTGCTCATGCCAGGCCCAGCAGGCTAAAGTATGGATGCTGTGTGAGGAAGCTGTTTCCTGCCCCCGCAGGGACATACTGCTGGGCACTGAATCTCCAGTCTCAGCTATTAAAGGAATTCAAGTTCCTGGGGGAGAGAAAAGATCCAGGAAACCCTTCAGGACCAACGTATTTTTTTTGGATAACTCCTTAAAGGCATTTCCTGTACAGGTACCCATTTCCTTTTCTTTTATCTTTTATTACCATGTATTAATTACACATGATATTGGATTTTATTATGACATTTCCATATATATGTATACTTTCTCTCTCTCTCTCTCTCTCTCTCTCTCTCTCTCTCACACACACACACACACACACACACATATATTCAATATTACCTTCTCTTATTTCCTCCTATCCCTTTCTTTTCCCAGCAACTAGTCACCCTTCTACTTGTGTGTGTGTGTGTGTGTGTGTGAGAGAGAGAGAGAGAGAGAGAGAGAGAGAGAGAGAGAGAGAGAGAGACTCTGAAATTAGTTTCACTTATAGGAGCATGGGTAGTTTACTATTTGGTACACTATTGAAAGAAATGTTCTGTCCCCTAGCAATCATGAGGGATGAATGGGTGGGGTTTCTTGAATATGTCTCTCCTCCATGATGAGGCTCCATCTTGTACAGGTTTTGTGCAGGCAATCACAGCTTCACTATCCATCTTATGTCCAGAAGACAGTATTCTACTCCTCTCTCTGGCTTTTATATTCTTTTTTTTTTTTTAATGAGACAGGGTTTCTCTGTATTGTTTTGGAGGCTGTCGGTCCAGCCGGGCCTCGAACTCACAGAGATCCGCCTGCCTCTGCCTCCAGAGTGCTGGGATTAAAGGCACGCGCCACCACCGCCCGGCGGCTTTTACATTATTTCTGCCCCCTTTTCCATGACGATCTCTGAGCCTTGGGGGGGGCATGGGGAGGGTGATATAGATGTCCTAATCACAGCTGAACATTCAATAGTCACTTATTCTCATCGATCTAACCAGATATAAATATTTGCAATAGCAAATGCCCATGACTAAAAGAAGGCTCTCTGACCAAATTTGACAGCAGCTCTAATCTATGGGCATAAACATAATTTATCAGAAGACAGTTATCTATTTAGCCAAGCAACAGCAGTTGCTTCCTCACTAGAGCCTATGACCTCCTTAGCTGTGGGCTTTGGACCATGTTTATGGTAGTAGATGTGATTTCTTTCCTGTGGAATGAAATCAAATCCAAGTAGAGGGTGGTTGACTATCCCCATAAGAGACTTGCCACTCCACAGTTTTGCCAGGCAGGTGATCAGTGTACCAAGCAGGACACACAGTTGAGTAAGACCAATGATGAGAATTTTCCCCAAACAAACAACCTGCTTAATACTTTCAAGGGTGTAGGCCTTTCTTTGTTCCTCTTTGCAATGGACTGGAATTTCTTACTCTTTTGAAAATTGGTATATATGAGTCTAAGTAAAATTAGATAAAATAACAAAAATATGAAATGATTTTAGCTTTATTCACTCATTTTTATTATCTATCTATCTATCTATCTATCTATCTATCTATCTATATTTGAGACAGAGTATTTCAAATGATCTAGAATTCACCATGTAGTCCAGGCTGACCTTGAACTTATGGAAAACCTGCTTTAGACTCAAAATGCTAGGAATACAAGTATGAGCCATCATGCCAGGTTTATGATTTCATATTTATAGGAAGTCACAGTGATAATTGAAAAGGATTTCTATGTACAACTCTACCAAGATTTCCTCAGAGCTGATACATTATTGTGTTTCTTTGTTTATGTATGTGTGCATACACATATAAATAAATATTTTCTAAACTGTTTGGTAGGAAATAGTGTACCTTTCTTTGCTGATTCTGTGCCCAAGCTCTACAGCTCCACAGCTATGAAAGATACCATTCTGTTTTCTCCTCCTCCTCCTTAAGATTTACTTTTATATTTATTTATTTGTGTGTGAGTATCTGTGTGTGTGTATGTGTGTGTGTGTGTGTGTGTGTGTGTTTGTCTACATACGTGTGGGTGCTCTTGGAAGCCGGAAAAGGGTGTTAGATCCCCTGGAGGTAGAGTTACAGATGGTTGTGAGCTACCCAATGTGGGTGCTGGGAAATGTACTCTGGTTCTACCTCATCAGCCTATTTCTTGCTCCACACTTTTGTGTGTGCCATTTCCAGTGTCAAGAAAGAGCTAGGAAAACCGCTATTTACTTTTGTGTTTTGTTTTAAGCATTCCCAACTCTGGAAACCCAGGCCATATCCTTCTGCTTTGCTTATTCTTAGGACTGAAAATGGTTTTCTTCATCTAGACTGGAGCTCCTTGAGGGCAGACCTGTGGCTCATTCACGGTGCAAGCCTTAGCTTGGGTGAGTAGCTGGAAAATGTTGGTGGGATGAATTAGAATAACACACTATTTAGTCTACTTCTAAGATTTTTTTAAATCTACATGCCCACATTCTGCACACCTTAGTTTGCTAAGAGGCCTGGGAAGTGGAGTGTAGAGGGATTTCTATAAGGAAAAGGAAACCATCGTTCTGGTTTGATTTGGGCAGAACATTGGTTGTTACTCTCCTCCTCTCATATTTCAACAGTCTCTGCTTTTCACCCTTTCAGATTGCCCTGGGTCCAGCCAGGAGCTGCCTGCTTCTCTTCCGTTCCTAAGCTTCCCAAACAAACTTCCTATTAATGCTTGCCTGATGCAAATGTCAAATGGTTCTGTGTGGATGCTATTAAAATAATGAATGCAGAAGGGGATAGATGAACAAGGCTGGGAATCGATCTTGGACCCCTGATGAGATCATTAAGAACTGGGGGGAGGGGAGGGGGCATCATTCTCACAGGTTGAAATTTCACTAGTGCCTCTTCTTCCCCTCCATCAACTCCTTTCCTCCTTCCTGTCTCCCTGCTGATTTATGGGCTGGATGCCTCCCCTCCCCCCATCCATTACCCTCAATGCAGTGCTAACTCACCATGGAAAATCTATTTGTGTCAAATGGAATTTTATCTTGGCCTAGGAATTAATGCAGTTTGTAAAAGATGTTTTAATCACACTTTCCTTAATGCAAGAGTATTGCAAAAAAAATTCCCAAAGATTCAGGCAGGTGTCATGAAGATGTTTCTTAGCTTCTTGATGAGGGCGCATAGCAACTGGTCTAGATTTGGTAATATATGGTGGAAGGAAAAACTGTCCTGGGAGGGTTCAGCTAGATGATGGAGGACATGAGGAGTACTTTAAATTAAATCCTTAAGAGACATAGACTCAATTATTATTGTCAATGATTCTTCTTGGACTTATGTTCTCAGGACTATAAAATAAAGATTTAACTTCTGAGAATTTGATTCAATTCATGGAAGAAGGAGCAGATGCAGGCATGAAAAAACCTGGTATGCACAGGTCCAAATCCCAGTGACTCTACTTCCTAGATGTGTGAGGATGCCTCCCTGAGGTGCAGTAAAATGGGAATTACCTTCTTTAGCACTCCCTGCATCATGTGATGATTGGATGAACAGATACACAGGAAACTGCACAGCTTGAGGCTGGAGCAGAGGGAGCCCTTCCATGGATGCTGGTTGTCCTTCATTCTCCTCCTCCCCTAGAGTCAGAAGACATTAGGGCATGCTGTAACATTGACACTGCAGACTAACCAGGCAGGCAGTAGGCACTTTCAAAATATACACAGAGTGAAAGACTAGCTTATCTGGGGGATTACTGGCATAATTCACTATCTTTTTGGCCAATAAAGAAAATAATCCTGTAAAAAAGATACCACTCCTGCAGGTAGCTTGTAGGTTTGCTGTTTTCGTTGCAGCCTGTCTGAATTGCCCACCCATAGTTATTCAGTCTCCATGCTATTCTTTTAATAGCTTCTATTATCTGACTTTTAATATTTACTTGTTTGCTCTTTGCCTATCCTTCCACTGGATTCAAAGCTCTTCTATGGCCTATGTCTTAATCACATACCATTGTATTGTTAGGACCTGACAAGTAGTTAATGGTCAAGAAAACACTAGTTGACTGTCTTTATAAACAAGTGAACATGTAGAGTAAATGGAATGGCTTCCTTTGTGGATCCCTGCTTGTCTGTGTGGTGTCAGGGACTCAGTGCTGGCCAGCCTACTTCCAGAATGGCTTGTCCAACAATCTTAAAAATGTAGCCCAGTGAGTAGGTGTGGCCTAGAGGGATACAGGAGAAGAGATGACTGATAGAGTGATGTAAGAACCATGAACACTCTAAAACACACTTCCCCTGTCCCATTTGATCTGAACTGCAATGACCAGCTTCTCTCTGCGAGTGGGAGGAAGGAAGAGACTGGGCCTTGGGTAGCAGACAGGAAAGGGTTTAGAAGTTGTCCCATGGCTGAGGAATCCCTGACCACATACCTAGAGCCAGCTCTGAGAGTACGAGAAAGGGAGATCTCTGTGCTATTTGGTCCTGGTTTGATGGCTGAACTCCCCTCCTGCCGTGTACCAGAGTTGGAGAGACAGAGTGGCTGTGGGACCAGGTCAGGTGCTGCCATAAAGCCTCTTGCAGGTGTGTACAACTTTGGGAACCACAGAAGTTCTTATTTGTCACAGGCTCCACGGCTCATAGGGGTTCTGGGCTTTTACAGATGCATTTGACTTAATCTCTTGGCTATGACTTGGTGTGGAAAAAGCTCTGAGCCTGGCTGTTGTAGGGAGTGGAAAGCCAAAGGCTGTAGGAAAGGTGAATAGGCACATTCATTTACTCAACCATTTAGCCACTCCATTAATTAATTTGCTGAATTGGGTTTTTTTTCATCTTCTACATGTTAACCAACACACCAGGACAATGACTTTAACATGCAAAAGACAGATGTGGTATCTGCCAACATGAAGCTTATAGTCTAATGGAGGGAAACCACCCACAAGACTAATACACATGCATGTACACACACAAAATCTGTAATTACCATGGTAACCTACTACAAAGGGAAATTATGGATACGTGTTGTTTTATCTTAGGCACAGTAGCTGTACCTAAGTCTACTGCTATTTCAGTCAGCAATTGTGATTCCACACTTACAATCCTGCTTTTCTGGCAGCTGCCTGGCTGCTCAGGCTGCAGCCTGGAGGGAATTCTGTTCCTGCAGGCATTGGCTCTGCTGCTGCTGCTAAGGTAGCTTTCACTAAATCTCTATCATTCTATTTATAAATAAAACTAAAGAATCAATGGCTGGGTGAAAACCTGATAGGTCAGAGAGGTTGAGTAGCACCTAGCTAATCTTCTCTCCTTGCTGGCATTTCCCTCAAAGCTGGTCCTTCTGCTCTGCCAAAACAGAGAAAGCTGTGCCACTCAAAACCCCTCCCTACTACTTCTGGTATGTCTCTGTCTCTATCTCTTCCAGATGCCCTCTGATGCTCTATGGTTATTTCCTGTTAACTATTTGCTAAGTCAACCTCCTGAGCAGGCTTAATTTTATTTAATTACCACAAATGCAAATTGGAGGTTTAGGGTGACCAAATATCCCCCAACAGATTACATATCAGTTCTTGATAATCAGAGAATGTTGTAACAAATCATTCCAAAAGGCCATGCCTCAAAACAGTTTAATGAAGTCAGCCTTTCTGGTTGAGATCTGTGCGGTGGCTTTTCTTGCCTTGTCTGGATCCTTCATCTATCTGGTGGTTTGGGGGTAGGTTGGCTGGCCAAGATGACTTTATCTGAGACGTCTTACTATTCACATGTCTATTTCTGTAGCCTGGAATGTTCTCTAGGCGAAAGTAGAGAAACAAGAGTTAAGTGAAAGTGTGCAGTGCTTCTGAGTGGCTGCAGGAGCTCTCTCTGATGATGGACATTCCAGCTGAGCTATGCAGAGCTAGGAGTTAGCCGCTGTCGCAGTCCTGTCAGCCACTCCATTTCTCCAGCTCTAGTGGGGGGCAGGAGAGGAGGTCAGCTATCAAACCAGGGGCAAATGGCAGAAGAGACCTCCCTTTATCCTGCTCCCAGAGCTGGCTATGGGATACTTGGTCAGGGATTTTTCAGTGCTCCCTGTAAAAAGCCCATCTCCACTTGTTGGCTCATTTTGTTGGCTGAGGCAAGTTTGGGGGCCAACTTAGGTTTCAGTGGTGGGAAGCTGGACTCTACCTCCTGTACAGAGGGACTGTCAATCAGGTTAAGGATACAGATGGGGCTGGGGCAAGGAGAAACACTGGGATACCAGTGTATTGCCACACAACTTGATCAGGAGTACCAGGATGCTTGATTTCAATTCTCAGGAAGCTTCTCTAAGGTTGTGAAGCTTCAGCTAAGTTGTAACGAGTTAGTCAAGTGAAGAGAGAGGGAGAACATTCCAGGCCGAGAACATGAGCTGGCTGAGCTCTGAGGAGTGACTGAACTAGAAAGAATCAAGATACTCACTGGAGGTCTGCAGAAAAGGCAGGTTTTGGTTCAGATGAGGCACAGGAAGAGCAGAGGCCAGCCCAAGTTCACTCCAGAGCAAGACCTGCTTGCTGGAGCAGAGAAAACATAAGGGCTTAGATTTATAGAGTATATGTGATGACATAAGCCTGTGTAGGTGTGACAGAGTTCTCAAAGGAGAAGCAGCAGGTGACATGAATAAGTCACAGATACACATAAGGTGGTGAAGCCAAGAGCCAAATATTGGGTCCTACAGAGTACTCAGGGCCAGAAAGAAGAATAGAGATACAAAGTGTTGAATAGAGCTAAGAGGAGGGAAGGCTTTGGTGTGTGTGTGTGTGTGTGTGTGTGTGTGTGTGTGTGTGTGTGTGTGTGTGTTTGTGTATGTGTTTATGCCATGGTGGGGCTGAAGGAGACAGGAGGGTTCTGTAGAGGAAGAAGCTGGATCAAATGAGGAGTTAGGACTGGATGCTGAGGGCCAGGCAGATTGGAGTTTGAGGTTCATGGTGGATCATACTTGTGTGTGATTGGATCAAGGAACTGGAAGGTCTAGAGAAGTGTGTGGGAGACCCAAACAGGAGCAGTGTAAGGGGGTACAGGGATGATGAGATGGTTGGTAGAGGTGAAGGTACTCTGGGGAGGGGACTCTGGAGTAATGGGGGCATGCAAAACTGTTTTCACTCCTAATGTCTCATTTCTGGTCTCAATCTTAGAAAGCCAAAGGCCTAGGAAGTGAATGAATTTGCTGTTGTAGCCCATGCCATTGTGCGGGTGAGAGGGAGGTGATCAGAGGGCTGAATAGGGGGAGGAAGGGGAGTCATGGGAACAAGTGGGATCTTTCTGCGTAACACCAAGTATGGGATGGTCTCAAATCCAGCTGTGTGATCTTGGGTTAGTTATTTCAGTTCTCTGAGCTTGAGTGTCTTCCCATAACAAATGGGTACTTAAAATAGTGTTTCTCATTTTCCAAGATTGTACAGTAAGTC